ATTGTCCGATTTCAAGCAAGGCCTACGTGGGGAGAAGTGATGGTTCGGGTCAGGGGGATTCCGGGCTTCGGTTGCACATCGTGTGCAAGAGCTGTTCTTAGATCCGGATTTACTTCAAGAAGCGCGTCAGGTTAGGAGCCTCGACAATGATGGTCGAAAGAGATTATTCTCTGCTTCAAGTCAAAAGATCTTCCACAAACCTCGTGTCTTGGTGTATGCAGCAAGCTGGAAGACTTGTACGGCTTCAAACAGATGCGTCTCGGGTGGCCCTGTACGGTTTGGCAGCGGATCCGGGGGCCAATTCTGTTTTCCTAGTGTCCAGGAAACCCTGGATTTCGAAGCGCTTTCAACCTGCAATTCCAACTGTGGCGTCAGCACGTCGGCATGAAGCGGCCGAGTCCCATCGGATGGTAGCCGAACAACGGGAGGCTCCTACAAGGCGAGTCGCTTGCATGGCCGTGAAGGACCATTCCATGCACGAGAAATGTTTCTCTACACCAGGTGAGTGAGTCAGCGAGAGGCAGGGGAGCGAGCACGCTAGTGATTGAGTGAGTGAGTGAGTGAGTGAGGGAGGGAGGGAGGGAGGGAGGGAGGGAGGCCTGTCTGTCTGCTTGGCTAATGGTGTAAGTATCCATATATATATATATATATGTACATGTATGTGTGTATGTATGTATGTATGTATGTATGTATGTATGTATGTATGTATGTATGCATGTATGTATGTATGTATACATATATGTTCATACGTCACTCTCTTTCCATATGTGTATATATATATATACATACATATGTGCAGGCATGCCTGCATGTATGTCTGTAAATGTGTGTACGCGTGGATGCATGCATGTCTGTGTGCCTGTCTCTGCCTGCCTGCCTCTGCCTGCCTGCCCCTGCCTGCCCCTGCCTGCCCCTGCCTGCCCCTGCCTGCCTGCCTGCCTGCCTGCCTGCCTGGCTGGCTGGCTGGCTGGCTGGCTGGCTGGCTGGGCCAGTGCTGGCTGGCTCGGGGTTCTGGCTGGCTGGTGGCTCTGGCTGGCTCTGGCTGGCTCTGGCTGGCTCTGGCTGGCTCTGGTTCTCTGGTTCTCTGACTCTCTGACTCTCTGGCTCTCTGGCTCTCTGGCTCTCTGGCTCTCTGGCTCTCTGGCTCTCTGGGCTGGCTGCCTGTCTGCCTGTCTGCCTGTCTGCCTGTCTGCCTGTCTGTGGATGGCTGGCTGGATGGATGGATGGATGGATGGATCTGTATGCAAGTAAGTAAATATGCATTTTGACGGATGTATGGATGTATGGATGTACGGACGAATGGATGTATGTGTATGGCTGCAGGGTTGCATGGGTGCAGGGTTGCGTGGGTGCATGGGTGCATGGATGGATGCTTGATTGCTATCTATGTATTGCTATGTGTGTATTGCTATATGCACGTACTGTTATGTAAATTATTGGCAATCCAGATGCTTAGCAGGCGTGTCTCCCAGAAGTTCTGATCACCACAAGCCAACACGCAGACAAAAATGGGCCCTTCGGTTCTCGATATCATATGCCTTCCGCTCCAGAGGCGGCATGTACGCAGCCTTGTCACAAGAGCTTAGGGATCAGTGCCAGCTCCAGAAAGGCAGCGGCCTTGGCATGTTCCATGCAGTCTCATACTCGAAAACTCGCTCGGCTTCTCGCAGCGGTGAGCATAACACAGTAGTGCTTTCAAAATAATTGAATTCATTGACATTTATTGAACGCTGGAAAAACTTCAAACCTGCCGTGCAACAATGCTCGGCTCTTGATTGCGTGGTGTGTGCATAGTATCTTTCAAGCTGTCAGTTGGCTCGCTCGATGCCTACTTGAGATCCCGAAGTCTGAACCTTGCACCATCTTGCACCCCCTAACTCTATTTGTCAGGCCTCGCATTTTCAACGACAACATATGCAGCTATTCACTTTGTGGAGTGGCTTGGTTTGGTTCCTCTTTCTGATGCTGCGATGGTGTATTTGCCTGTTCAAAGATGACTTAGGATAGCCCCTCGCCTCAGAGACCTGTTGGTCTTCGCAGCGTAGCGCTCAACTGGCATTTTGAGCATGCTATTCCTTGCATTGTTTAGGATGCTTGGAAGGCAATTGAATCTGCGGAGTTGTTGCAACGCCAGCTGAATGAGGACAGAAACCTTGAGACAGGCAAGCTGTGCGAACAAAAACCCTTCGGATCCTAATCTCTGCATGTTGCACCGGTGCAATCCCTACGACCCTGGGCGTGAACCAGCGAACGCTGCTCAGGAATCAATCAGGAACTCAGTAGAGTGTGAAGTCACAATTGGAGTCGTCGTGTTTGCGCTATCTTCCGAGACTCGTTCACAGACTACTTCTCGTTTGCTTCCAGCAGAAAACGCAAAAGAATGACTCATGTATAACATGGCATGCGAGTCATCAGTCTCTTCCACCAGAGTGCGAGAGAGTGTTTCTTGCGTGTCTTCAAGGCATGCATCACTTACTTATTGCTCACTTAATGGTGGAAGGTGGCTTCTGATACAAAGCCAACATGGATTGCCTTTGTGGTGGCAAAGGGGTCAAAACCTGATAGGGAACTCTCGAGCCAGCACCCTCAGCTGATCCTATCGACAGAAGTACCTACGCTATGGCCACTTCGGGTCCGGGCACCTTGAACAACTGCCAATTGAGCATATGGCATGAACATCGCTCGGTCTCTGTAATGTAAGATTTCCACGAACCGAAAACCGAGAATGCCCATCTAGCAAATCAATTTCTTTGGCCTGAAGTGCCGTTAACTCAGGACCCAAACCGTACTGGTGCACCCCAGTCGTGTTGGGCACTTGAGAAAAACATCTCGCGTGGTGTATCGGAACAAAATCGTTCGCGGATAGCATGAGACCCGGCGCCAGCGCAACTTTCTTCTTCATACCCCGCATAGCCTAAATGTTCCCAACCCTGTCGAAAAACTCGTCTAAACAGCATTGCACCGGTGCTTGCTGGCGGCCTTTCTCCAGCGCAGCGCTCACATAAGCCGTAGGCCGGGTCTTGGAGTCAGGGGTATCAGTTTCAGAAGTTTTAACAGTTTTAAACGGTGTCTCAGCTGTCGGGAGTATGTCATAATCAAAGATACGGGGCACTGTGTGCACCGCGTTCACGCCCTGTAGATTTTACCCTGCTCCCACAACTAATTTTGATGTCCTTAGCTGACTGATTACGCGATTGTGCCTGGGGCTCAAGTCCCCGAGAGTAAAAGACTCAACAGGGTTGACTAAGCGGTAGCACTTGTGTAGCTGGCTGTAAACCCTGAAACTTCAGGTTATCAGCCGTAGTAGCTTCCATGGCGTTGGTTCCCCAAACTGGCAATACCGCTGGAAACGACGGCAATCGACGGCAGCATTCCACAGGGTACCTACGTGCAGAACAATTTCACACAACTACTCCAGGAGAACCAGCAAGTGAACGTCTTTATAGACAACTGGTCCGCGGAGTATCAAGCCGAAGAGCAGGCGGAACTAAGGCACCGGCAACTCCTGGACGTTATCTACACAGAGGCCGGTATGCAAAATCGGCAATTGGAGGCTCACCCCGACGCTGAGCATTCCAGAAGACTTGGCTTCATTCAACATAGTACGCACGTGTTGGTCACCCAACTGAACCCCGAAATTAGTGCGTGCAAATCAGAAGCCGAGCACTTCAGGGCTAAGCTACTACACAGTGATAAGGCCAGCGACACGGCAAAACCCGAAGCTACTAGCGATCTACTGGCATCAGCACCAGAGCTGCGATCGGCAAGACCGATGACGACAAGCCGAAAACCAAGGAGGCTGAGACTGTGAAACTCCCCGATTTTCCTAACCTTCAGACAAGCCAGATGAAGCTTTCAAATGGATTCAGGAAGTTTATGAGAAGACTGCTACTTTGGAGGCATTCCGGGATACGGGGAAGTTTTTTTGACTTTAGACACGAAGGTTTTATCTGCTCTATCCCGAGTTGCACAGGCGATCTGGGTAGACAAATCATCAACTACAAGGAGTCAGAAGCTGCGGGAGGCAGGGCCGTGCGCGGAAGACAAGTTCTTCTGATATTTGAGCACTATTTCAAGACCAACGAAGAAGCGGGCTCTCTGTACAGTGTAGAAGACCTTCTGAAAGTTCAGGTTGTCAGCGAGGATCTCAGTACTTTCATTCACAACTGGGAATCCTTCTTCGACAACTCAGGGGTTCCAGTAAGTTGAAGTTTGATCTCGAAGTGTGTGACAGAGCCGAAAAGGCGAAGAGAAGCATACTTACGACTACCTTGTGAAGTGTGTAAAGGAGCTCTTGACCGGAGAAAGGACTCGATTTAACCGTGCAGCCATTGCTAAGGCACATGGCGCTCAGCACGGAACTCCAGCACCCACGGATGAGAACACACCACAAGGTACCCCCAGAGGACGTGAACGCCCTGCTTTGCGTTTCAGCGGGGCAAATGCCCCAAAGGCAAAATTGCCCCTTTGAACATGTAAAGGCCGATCAATCCAGAGGCAGAACGCCCCCGAAATCCCCAAAGGGCGGACGAGGAGGTAGTGCTGGCAGTGAAAAGCGAGGTAAAGGCAAGGCGGATAAGTCCAAGACCCCATGCTTCTTCTACCCTAAGGACACCTGTAGGAACGGGAAGAACTGCCCTTTCCTGCGCAAGGGTGCCAGCCCATCTGTCCCGGCTAAAGGCGATAAGGACGGCAAGCAGAGAGCGCCGTCGCCGGCGAAGCGCCGTCCCAGCAAGAAGAGGGGGAAAAGCGCCGATAAAAAGGCGGCGTGCTGTCTTTCCTCCAATGCCACCCTTACGGGTGAGCCTTCTGCTGCGGTTCCGACAAAGTTCGCGCTAGCGCCCGCTAGGGCGAAGCCGGTCCCAGGGATCATTGGGTCATTGACAAGGACAAGGGCACATGTTCGGATTCATCAGAAATTCAGAACAAGCCTCTACGTTCCCGCAGGCCAATCATTGTCCGGTTCCATTTGGAGACTCAAGGGCAGTGCCCACGCTCGTATGTACACTTCAGAGGACTCCAAGTTCTTTGTCGGGTCTGCCTACAACTTCAAGTCTGGGGATCTCTCGAAGCCGGTAGAACGCTGGATTCGAACGACCGCAATTTATTTGGAGCCACTGCCAGACCTGAGGTGATCAACATTCCACTTGAGGGTGAGGGGTAGCTGGCGCGGTTGGCGAAGGCGATCCCATCGAAAAGATGGCGAACGTCATTCCTCCGATCCCAGGGATCGAGGCCGGTTGGACTGTAATCGGTGGAAATCCAGCTGCTGAAGTAGCTCACCTTGCCAAGACGTTCCGCACTCCTGCTCCACGTTTCCCTAAGCGTCGTATTCGTACGACATGGGGGTACAAGGATGATGCATGGACTATCTTGGAAGATGCTGTGAACGTTGACGAGCTTGAGGGCATTTATAGGGAATTACCTGAGGGCACTATCGCGAGCATAACATTGTTTGCCTTACCCGAAGGTAGTCGAGGAAGCGCAAGCCGACTAAACAGCAGGAATCGTTTGACCAAGGGGGATCTTGCAGCCGAGGTGGACGCAGCAGCTCTCGCGGTGGGGTACCGCAATTGTATGTATACCATGTGCTGGGGTAAGACGCTGTGGTGGATCGTATGGCAGGTAGAAGAGCGCCTAAAGACCTGCGAGCTCCATTACCCAAAGTCTCTCATTGACATAGTCGTTTGGTGGGCCGTTTGAGATCAGCAGACAGTGGGGCTGTGTCCTTACGGATTTGTTTAGGAGCAGCCTATCGAGATCCAACAGTCTCGACCGAAGACGTTGCTCGCAAAATAAGGGCGAGCCCGGTCTGGAAATTGGATATGTGAAGATCATCGGCCGAGTGGACGCGGAGCTATTCCAGCTGCGCGCAGCGATAGCTTCAACGAGGCCATGTTCTGCGAGTTTGAGAGGCGTGGTCTTCAAACACAGACGGCCAATCCGTGCGTTCAGAACTTGGAGCTCTACGACTCTTTCCACGCTTCAGAGAGCGAGCAAAACTGCTTGGTGTTCTCCTCATTCTTGCGCTCCACTCTCAATCTCAGCCGCAGCGAATGGATCGCTGAAAAGCTGGCCATTACTGCGCATGCCCTCAAAAGGTTCAAGAACATCGAGCCGGACTACGCTAACAATGAAGCGGTGACGGCTGTAATGCGAGAGTGGAATGATGAGAAGAACGCCCTGAAGGTCCAAGATCAAGCGCAAGGAGATTACCGAGGAGCACAAGGCTTGGGAAGCACCTGATGTGGCGAAGGCCGCGGACGTTACCAAACTCCCGGCCTCTCCGCCGGAGGATGAAGCCATCCGCAAGGATGTGCCGGCGTATGGGGCGAGCGCTAGCATTCAAAGCGTCGCCGAGCACATCAAGGACATTGTTGCGCAGGAAGCAGATGGCGATGTCAGCTACGAGCCGCCCGCTGCTGTGGAGCTTGTCGACGAGGGTGAGTATGACAACCCTAGCCCGTCGAGCGTGGGTCGTATCGTTGAAGAGCGGCGGTTGCACCAAAACCGGCCCCGACACGCAAGTCGGACGGAGACGAGGACGACTATCGCCGCGAGATGTTCGTCGATCAAAGCTCCCCGCAAGGGGCAGCCAACCCAGCTGGATCGTTGGCAAAGGAGTACCGCTACAACGGCAAGCTGCACCGGCTTATTCCCTTTAACCCAGAAGACATTGTCGGAGATAAGGACGTAAAGTTCCATCATGGCGATCTAAAGTTCCTGTCCCTCCTCTTGGGACACGAGTTGGAGGACCATGGTTTGGCGTTCGATGCCGGTTGCTGGACCGATGTAGACAAAGTTCTCGACAGGTTCAGTCACTGCAGACAGCGACGGTGGAGAGTACGGCAGCTGCTTAGGGCAGTGAAGGCGGACAACGCAGGATGCCTCCGATTGCTTGGCGTCGACGTTACCGTTTTGTGGACTTGTCCACTTATGTTTTGCCAAAATGGAAAAATGCTTGCACCTTCTTTCTTGGATGCCTTTTGGTTACCGCCTGCACCACTTGGTGACGCGTTTGCAAATCAGCATTACATTCGCAACTTCGGTTCAAGACAGCGGCGAAGCTGGCTTCGCTTTTCGCTTTCTTCTGGGCCCCTCTAGAGGCTGGAATCTGCGTGCTAGCAGGCTCCAGGTGCTAAGAGAAGGCTTGGGCTTAGCCCTCTGTGCACGCCGGGGAGTGCTCCCCTGGCAGATGGTGGTGCCGGCTGCTCAGAGTTCGGAGAATCTCATCGAGCTTTTGCAAGCTAGAGTTCTAGATCTCACGGAACGTGTGCTCCAGCTTGAAACCTTCCGGTGGGGACAGCAGCGGCATCTTGATTCCCTTCAGAATAACTTTAATCTGCTGCACAACCGCCTTCGTGCACTGGAAGCTGCATCGTTGCGCGTAGATCGCCTCGAAAGGGAATTGCGCCAAGCACGACGGGCGAATCGGCTCCTTCTCCAAGCCCTCCAGGAGGCGAGTGTCAATCATAGGCTTTTGTGCCAGCGTGTGGGGGCCCTCGAGGTTGCCGGACTGTAAGCCATTGCCACTTCAGAGTAGCCATGCCTTTGCGTTCGGCTCGATCCGGACGATCGTTCCGGTGGCAAAGACCCACGCGCAGGGATCGCCCCTGCCCTACCCCCGTCGGGTTCTAGTCCCCCTGCCCCTTCGGGCTCCTCCCTCGCTAGGTCGAGGGCTCCTTCGGCACTTCCTGCTGCTGGCATTCCTTGCCTTCCGGTTAATCACAAAGGGTCTTGGATAGGGCCTCCGGGTCCGGCAAAGCGCCCTCGCCCGTGCAAACAGGATGGTACAAGCATGGAAGCGATTCGCAAGCACTCTGCTGCGAACTCAAAGGTTGCGATGGACTTGATGTCTCAGCTGCTTGCCTTTTTTGGGTAGTGAATCGGAGCTTTTCCAATCGCTTCAGACTGCCAAGCATTTTACTCAGCATGTGCGGCGCATACTTGCTGGTTTTGCCGCCACAACCGTCATCAGGTACCTCACTGCTTTTAACTCTGTTGCCAAGGCCTGCGAAGACTTGGATGTCGCCATCTTGGAGCTCACCGAAACACAAGCTGCTGATGTCCTTGTTACCTTGGCTTTGCAAAGGAAGGAAGACCCGGCCGTCGGCTCTTCAGCCATCACCTGCATCAAGGCCGTGCGCTGGGTGCATAAGCATGCGCAGTGTTGCATCTTTGCAGTTTTTCATGAGTAGCTGCTTTCATCCTTTCTCCGCTCCAAGTTGCCACGCGACAGACGGGAGAGTGTCCCATTGCCCCTTTTTGTTCTGGTGCAGTGGGAGCGTCGCATCCTCCACCGTTCCACGTCCCTTGTAGACGTGTTTCTGCTTGGGTCACTGCTCGTAACTTGCTGGTCCTCTTTGCGTTTTGCCGACAGCCAACGCATTGAGTGGCAGTCTTTTGCTTTTGACGTCGCCTCGCTGCGTGCAGTCGCGTATCAAACAATAAGACATCGCACCAAGGCCAGCCCTTCGGTCTGATCACTCAGGGATTCCTGCAGCACGGCAGCTCTACCTGGGTTGCTAGATGGCTTCGGGTCCTCGATTCCATTGCGTCCCAGGAGGTCAGGCATTTCGGTGTGGCCCCTAGCTTCTTGTTTCCTTGCGTGGATGAGAATGCGCAGCTTGTTCGGCCACTTGCGCCGATGTCCTATGCCTCGGGTTTGAAGTGGTTTCGGTACTACCTCCGTTGCCCTTGGCTGGAGACCTTATCGGAGATCCCATTTTCGAACTATACGGTCCACAGCTTGAAATGCACACTCCTGAGTTTCATGCTTGAAGTGCCAGAAATCCAAGGCTCTGACAGGGATGCCCAAGGGCACCATCGTGGCAGCAGCCGTGAGCTCTACAGCCGTGATGATGTGTTTTAGGAGCTCTGCGGGCGCAGGCCCAATTACGCTCAGCCGTCCTTGCAGGTTTTCGGCCGCGCACGCCTCAGCATCGGGGCGCGCAACTCCCCATGCAGCCTATCCCCTTCACGCTTGAAGCCTTCCGGAAAGACATTGCAGACACCCCGTGGGGATTTTTCAATTTTGATGTTAGCTGCCCGGGCTCCCTGCCGCGGATCCCGAACTCAGGCCCCAGCCCACTGGATTTGGACCCTTGCGAAGCGGACGCACCGCAGCCCCCGGCTGCCCCACTGCCCATGCAGGAACCACTCTCGGCAGCATGCGTTGGTTCGGACTCCGATGCCGCTTCGGATACTGTTTCGGAAGCCGACATGCCAGACATTGGCCCACCTGATGAGGTCCACATGGTCGCCGCTACAGGCGTTGTTCATGCATCCTGCACCTCAGCTGACGCCCGCACCCTTTGCGGCATCAGCACGCTGCGCTCTCAGTGGCAGGCAGTTTTGCATCTGTCGTCGAAACACACGCTCTGCAGGAGGCAGGCGTGTGTGTGAAAGCATTCGCTTCATTAGAGGTTTCTAGAAAAAAAGCTGTCGCAGGCGCATGGTTGCAACCTTGCCTCTCTCTCCCTCTTCTGCTTCCTTCCCTCCCTTCTCCTTTTTGGCTCTCCTCTCCTCTCCCTCCCTCCCTGCCTCGCCCCTCTCTCTCTGGGCTGTTGAAGTCTTTCTCTCTTTGGGAAGCAGTCAGTGCTCTGCATTCACACAGCTTCATGTCTGTCTGCTAGGGAGCGGTCATGCGCTGCAGTTTCGAACCCATGTCCGCTTGTTACGCGACCTTGTCTCTGAGTGAGTTTGATCGCATTTTTCTTCACATTGTGTCTAGGCACCTGTTTGCATTGACCTCCCGCAGGTGTCCCAGTGGAGTTCTGTGCTCAGATTTGCTTCACTTTGCATTAGCTTCGTAGAGACTGCTGGGCCATGTCCGGTGCACCTGAAGGGCTCTCTGAGCCAGGCTCTTGGGAACCCGTCTTGGGAGGCGAGGCTCGCCACGCAACAGAGGCCGTGTCAGGTCTCCGCAAGGTCCTGCTGGACCATGGTGTTCAGGCTGACATCGTCGATCAGCTTGTTTCTGACGGGTGGGACATCCCAGCCTTTCGACATGTCGTTTGTGCAGCCGCTGACCTTGATGCATCCCTCTCGGAGATGCTGCCGGATAGCAACGTTCCGTTGCTCCAGCGTTCGAAGCTGTGTGCCGCTTGGAGTTCCCTCCAGCGCTCATCGGCCCCAACGCCCTCGGATTCTCTGGGGGAAGGGCTTGTGCAACAGCCCAAAGCGCCTGCAGGCTGGTCAGAGTCGTTTGCCCCCAAAACTGGATGCAAACAAGGTGGCATCGCTGAGAAAGGCCTTTCTCGAAGCCTTTCCCAGCGAAATCCTGACTGCTCAGAACACCCCATCCCTTCGCCTCCTCAGCACTGCAGTTGATGCCGAGGTGAAAAAGACCTGGTGCTGGATCCCGTGGAAAAGCCGCCTCACTCAACAAATGCACGAGGACTCTTTGCTGAGTAAGCCTGCCAAGCGCGCGCGCATTGAGACTCTTCAGCTTTCTGATATCCTATTGGATGAGCCACCTCAGATCGACATCAATGATACATCCATGGGTGTCTCCATGGTCCGTCGCCTCCTGGAGGTTCACGACAACGCTCTCGCCATCGCGGGATCCGCGCATCTTGCGCGCCTGAAGGCGTACTCTGCTAAGTTTCTGAACTTCGTGTGCCAGCGGTTCCCGCCCGAAGCCCATCTCCGCCCGCCCTCGGTACTCGAGGCTCAACAGGCGGACAAACACCTTTGGACTTGCATCTTCCAGCTGGTCATCGAGAAATCTTGGAAGATGAATGACGCGATCTACGAATTCACGGAAATCCGTGGAGACATGGCTTCCTGGTTGCAGCCGCGACCTAAGTTTCCTGCCAACAACCCCGTCGCACGGGCAATCCGAATGGTCGCGAAAACCGCCCTCCGCCGCCTCCCCCAAGCAAATGGCAGGGCAAAGGCGGTGGAAAACTCAGGCAGCCGGGAAAGAGCCCCAATCAGCCTCGCTCGGTGCAGTGGATTCGTGAGTTCAAGGACAACGGAGTCAGCAAGAAGATGTGCGTCGCCTGGCAACTGGGTAAGTGCCAGCGAGGAATTCCTGCGAATTCCTGCATGGCTGCGCTTTCCCAAAGTCTGATGGCTCCCCATGCTTGTCCAAGGATCATGGCGCTGCACAGCACCGCGAGAAGGCCAGCTGATCCGGCACTGCCTTGCCGCCTTGCAGCCAGCCTGTGGACGTTCACACTCATGTGTTGCCCCATGGGAACCCCGTTCCTCGCCCGATACCGCCTGCTCGTCGCTGCTTTCGGGTTCACCTTCTAGTGAGGTTGGTTCTGCCTTAGGCCCTTCGTTAGGCCTGCCCCCCCCCACCTTTACCCGAGCCGTCCCACCCGGAACACACCCCAGTTCTTGCCGCTTCGTCAGGGGTCGACACATCCTTTCCTCCCAAGCCGCCGGGTCTTCTGGGAGCACAGCTGCATATGGGGACCACATTTCAAGTCATCTGTGCTTTGCCTTCTGCCCCATTGGCAGTCCCGTCTGTGCAAGCTGCGGATTCTCCCGCTGACATCGAGTCAATCAGCTCGACATCGCTTGTGGTTTCCCCTCGCTCGGGGGGCCGCGAAGGCTGTTCCAGCTGAGGTCGGAAACCCCGTCAGCCCGTGCTCGGCACCGACCCTGGCTACTGCCTTCTCTACTGTGGATACGTCGGCGCTGCGGCCCGCCTTCGACTGCCTACTGCAATCCCTTGAAGACGCT